AACCCTAAAATATGACCATTTCCGTAAACTACCCTGTGTATTTCTTAAAAATAGTTTTTTTTTACCTTGGTTCCCCTTTACTCATCTTTGTTGAGACACTCATTAACAATGTACCCGATCAGAGTAGTACGGCAGGCTCCTAGCATTTCTCAGGCATTTTTCATTCGCAATTAAGCTTTTGATCATGAAGAGAGAGGACAGTTGGGGGTTACACTTTTCTTTTGTGTTCACCTTTACCTTAGTTCTAGCGGGAAGTGAAGTGTAACCATCCTAAAATGCTTTCAGAACAAGTCGATGGGCAGGTAAAGAAAATTTAGCAAGCCACTTAAATCTCTTCTACAGGCTGTTTATAGCCACTTTCCTGAGGACTGCCGTTGGCAGCTACTCTCTAAACAACTCACTCTGGCTCAATTTGAGAGCCTTCCACTGACCAAGTCTCAGTTCTTCAAGTGTGCTATGGATTTTCGTGAGGAACATCATGGTGTGATCCAAGTTGTTGACGGTTGCATTCGCATGAGCCTCGGGTTTTGGCGGCCGGGTGCGTTCACCTACAAGTTGCAGCATCTTCTTGGCAGCGCCCGTGTTTCCCAACCTGCCCTCGTACCTGTCCGTGCAGCAGGCTTAATTGATGTCTTCCAGACGTCTGAACGAGAGAGGCTGCTATTGAAGGACTTTGTGCTGCAGGAGACTACCCAAGATGCTCTCAACTTTTTTATTCGGTTGCCTTCGAGAGGGGCATACTTTTTAACAGTATATGCTCAGGTGCGTTCTGTATTCCCAGGTGATTGGCTTTATCATGCATTTTGTAGTTTACCATCGATAGGAAGGAGTCTTGAATGCATGTTTTTATGCCTTTGAGTAAACTGACTCTGCGTTTATTTAAGTTTGCATGAAGACTTTGTTCCCACTCATATTTGATAGCTTCATTGGAAATGTTGGTGAATCAAGGCCACTGTTTTCTGACTTTCCAACCGCGTTTTCCATTTGGGATCCAGTCTCTTCTCATGAAAGCTAGACTTACTGTGATAAACTCATAGTGCTCGCTGTCGTCCAAGGCGTCTTGAGTAGGCCTAACTTCCATAGACTCCTTCTATCCCTGCGTTGTGCAACTTGAGGTTCAACCTTTATCCCATTCTGACACCATACGGCATTATGTTGACCTCACGCTTCATTCTCCAAAGTCTGCGATCTCACCTTTATTTTCCTCTTAGAATCTTGTTCGGCCTCTGTTCAAGCTTCTCAAGTTTATTCAAGATAGCTAA